AGTTGCACATAGGAGAGACTATTTAGGAGTGTGTTGGAGAGGCTTGAGTAACTGAAGGTGTGGTAGAACAGCTATTGCAACAAGGTGCCCTCCACCAACATGGAGTTCTCGCACAGTTCATTCCCTTTAGCAGGCACCAGTCATTGGAGGGGTAAAAAGCATGGGTGAGAAGGCAGTCAGTAGCAGCTGAACCTGGGATCGGATCTTGTTCCTTGGCACAACTTGCAAAGACAGTATAGACATATCCAGAGTATACTCAGTATGTTTGGGACTTTCTTAACACATCAAATGAGACAGTTTTTATGTTGCAGAGTTCATAGTCTGCAACACTAATAACATGGTTAATGTTGCACCGAGCTGGCTAGCCCATGCGGAGGATAGCCCATGTGATTCTTCATAGTTCATCTCCTTTCTGACTCCTTAAGAAAAAAAAAAGAGTTGTCCCTACCTACTGGTTATGGCCAGCAAAATTCTGTGAAGATTCTTGGTAGCTGAGAGCTATGAGAAAATGCCCCAAACATATAGAACTTTTCTGTTTTCCAAGGGTAATTAGTTTCTATCTACTGCTATATTTTTCTGGTCTTATTCATAAAATTGAGTATTAGAACCAGAACGTGGGGTTTTTTTTCTGAATTAGAGTCTGCAACATATTTTGTTATAGTTAGTGACGTGTCCTTTCTAGATTGTGCTCTGTCACTGCTCTCTGAAAGAGAAGCAAGTAGTCATGTATGTGTATGTATGGTGTCGCTGGGGGTGCTGCCCAGGGTGCCTAACAGTAATACCTGCTTCTTTGATCATACAGTTTGTCACTATTCTGGTGCTGAATGAATCACTAATGACCCTTTTTCTTTCACTTCAGAGAAAACAGAAGTATGTTCTGTTAACAGTAGCGTTGAAGTGAGCCTGTCAGTTCTTCGGCGTTGTTTGTTTTGATGTACACATTGAGCTTTGGTATCCATTGGGTTGTTACCGCTGTTGGTGGCATTTCATTTCCTCTGTTGTTGGATTACAAGTGCTGTTGTAAATGCTTGTAAACGTCATAGGTGAATTCCATGGAAAATTATTTTTTTCTAATGGAGAGGTACAACCAGAGATTCAGATGATGTATTGGATTTTCCTGAAAAAGAGCTTTAAGTAACGGCTCAGGAGACTTATTTGTAGTGGGTACTTGGCCAGTGTGAGGGCAAAACCAAATCTCTTAAATCACAGGGAATGGGAGAATTCCGTAAGTCTGCAATCCCACACATGCTCTAGGAAACATAGCAGCAACAGACTTGGTGAAGTAGGTCTACTTAAGTTAAGCATACTTTTAGGAAAAAGTTATAGCTGTTTCTTTTATTTTTAGCAAAGTAAAATCTTGAGTGACAGTTCCCATGACTGTACTGAGCAAGCAGTTCGTTACTATGGTAGATAGACTGTTTCACAAAAAAAGAAAATTTCCAAGCACAAATTTTCTTTTCTTCATTTTAACACCCAGAGATTCATTTAATAGAATCAGTCAACCATTAAATGTGATCGTGCAAAATGAGGTAAATTACATACAAGAATACCCTCCTTCCCCTAACCAAAACACATGTTGAAGGCAGTGGGCAAGATCATATGACCAGCGTACAAAAGATGATGAATTAATGCCAGGTAGGAAACATACACTATTTGACCTTGGTGCTATCAGTGATTCTACAGTCTCAGGTTGAATGCTTAGGTAAGATACCAGATAAAAGTGGCATGATATATTTGGAGACATAATGATAACTGTATTCACCACCAACAGTACCCTTAGTTCCCTTCTCGTGTGCATATCTAAATATTCCAAAACAGTGAGCAAGGTCCAAGAAGCCATCTCTTCTGTCTAATCTGGTTCAAGAAAGGTCGTCCCAAACAAGAAGTCGATATATGATTTGATGCTTTGAAAGAAAATTATGCTGAAGGAAATCCAGTCACTTTGCAACAAATCTGAAACTGCTGCCACAATATACTAATGCCGTTCATTGAACAAAAGGAAAAGAATGGGGCCAGTTAACACGATGAAAAGGAATCCAGAAATAAATGTACTCATTTTGTGACATAATTTTTCCGAAGGAAATCCAGTCACTTTGCAACAAATCTGAAACTGCTGCCACAATATACTAATGCCGTTCATTGAACAAAAGGAAAAGAATGGGGCCAGTTAACACGATGAAAAGGAATCCAGAAATAAATGTACTCATTTTGTGACATAATTTTTCCCTACACCTCACCATCATCTAACCTTTGTCTTCAGCAAGCAACACTTACCTGCCTCTCTCACCATCCTTCAACAGCTAGTGACTGTATCTCCATTTTCCTTGATGACATCTGTCTCTGTTCCACCTTTGAAACACAGGTCTCTCTCGAGATGTTGATAAATGAGACATTCCAAGCTAAACTCACAGCTGTTGTTTTTAACCTGTGCTTGCTTGCATGACTGCTGCATTTCAGACCTAAAGGTTCAGCTGTTGTTTTTAACCTGTACTTGCTTGCATGATTGCTGCATTTCAGACCTAAAGGTTTGCAGTCAAACCTTTGCTCACTGATGTTTTAATTTGGCCTAGCTCCACTGATTGATCCTTATTTTGGTTGATGTCAGCATGAATGAGATTGGGTTTTGAGCCCTTAGTGCGAATAGTCGTCTTTGACAACAAACCAGGGAGAAGGTTAGCTGCCACGGGAGCTTACCCACCGGCCTGCGGCAGGGCTTTTCATTGCTGTTGAGTGGGCTCTTCTGACTGGTTTGGTCTGTTCGTGTGTCAGGGTGGAGATGTTTGTCCTGAATCGTGCATCTCTCAATCAAAAGGTAAATAGGATGGCCTTCTGTCCCCTACCTGCTTCTTTTTCACTACATACGGGCTAGCATCATTAGATCTACGGGTTGTTTTCTAGCTTGAAAAGGCCTACATAGAAAACCGTGTTCATGATTCTTCCTGTCTTCAAGTGTTCAGACCGATGGAGAAGCAGCAGGCAGGGGTACGTAACGTGAAGGCGGCTTTATCTTGTGTAACAGAGGTCTGTGAAAGACATGGAGTAACAAAAGACCTTTAAGAGCTCTTCTGTCAGGCTGTTAAGCAGGTATGGACACCCTCCATTTTGTTGTCCATTTTAACTGGGAGCTCAAACATCCAATGGGTTAACAGCAGGAGCAGAAATTAATATATTGTTCAAGGCCTTTAAAAAATACTGCATGCAGATGCAGTTATTGCATGCACAAACAGAAGCTTAGGGAAGGGGTTAAGGTGATCACTTAGGTTTTGAAGGCGTTGGCTCTTTGCATGGTATCTCTGTTTGTGTGATGCATGGCCAGATCTTGCACATAGATTTTACAAGTTACTTTAGACCAGGTAAATTGTTACATTTTCTTTACGCTTATTTCTGCATCAGTGTCTTTTCTCCAATCTTGCACATATTAAAGCAGCATAAAATGTTCAGCAGCATTGGGCAGTGTTTAGATATATTTTGGATATATTTATGAAGGCTTCTTAACAACATGATTTAGTTAAAACAGCCTTTTTCTTGCATCAATATCACTAAAAATCAATGTGAGATAGGTTTGTGGATTCTTGTAAAACATTTTTATCATCTCAGTCTTCTTGGAAGAGGCAATTTATTAAGTGTTTCACATTGATGTAAAATACAGGAGTTAAAATTTCCATCGAGTGACTAACATCTTTTCTGTTTCAACCACTACTTTATGTAAAGCTGGGAGGTTTTTTGCAGTAGCTTTGCGGTAGCCATAACAGAGTTACTATACTTATAACAGTATTGAGTAGTATTTTTGTATTGCAATTTTAATATATTCACTATTTAAAAGAAATTAATCTGCACTAACAGCTTTTTGGGCAGGTGAAACCTCAGGTGGAAATGAGCCCAGCTCCTGGCATTGCACTGGGCAGCAAGCTGGCATGTTTGCTCCAGAGGCAGTCGTTAAGGAGCCTCCAAGCAAGGCTGTTAGAGAGCAGGCTTCTTGAGAACTGAATATATGTGTAGCTACAAAGCATGGTGCAGTTTTGTGTTGAAAGAGAAGCAGTGATATAGAAAAACATGGCTACATAATTGTATCTTCTGTAGGGTGTCTGTAAAAGAGGAAGAGGAGATATGGGAAATAGTTTTCCTTTATTTTGAAGTAATGAACATATGTGTGGGCGACTGAAATTCAGTAAAATTATTACCACTAATAACACGTATTCTTTCATTACTGCCAAATGTGGACAGTTAAGTGAATTAGGCTGGCAAACTCTGACCTCTAAAATATGAAAATATGTTTTTCCTGACTGTTTGAAGTTCTTGAAGGTCTCAATAATATCTGATTGAAGGCCATGTTCATGTTGAAAGTATGATAGAAAGTAGCATAAATAATATAATCAGGTTAATGCAGTCAATGTTAAATTACTGCTTTAGAGCTGAAATAAACTTGTAAACCTGGTTAGGTTAAAAAATACCCATGGCTGTGTATATTGCTCTTCTAAAAAGTTAATACATAATATGGAGCATAATCTCTAATGGTATCCATAGGCGGGGTAGATGTAGATTAGTAGTCTTCAGGTCTAGCTTTGGTTAGATGAATGCCAACTGGAACTTCATTAGAAGAAAAGACTGAAACTGACTGTATGCAGATCATCGTTTCAATGCATTTTGCTTTTTCCTGTCTGTAAATCTTTACTAATAGTGCATTCCTAATTAGTTGAATTAAGTATTTTAAATATGGACATGTATAGGCCAACTTAAGTAATTCAAGATCACCTTCCGCATTTATAATCACAAACAATGAAAAACATTTATACTGAATTGACTTTTGCAACCATACCTGTACTTTACTTGAATGAAAAAGCACAAATTGAAAAACCTGAAGTTTGAATGAACAGAAGAAATTTGTATTTAAAAACCTTTGCAAACTTTGCAACATCACAGGACAAAAGCAGTAGCTATTTTCATAAGTTGGAAGTCTTTTTAGAGTAGGTAACTGAGTGATTTTTGGTCTGTTTCCACAGGTTTTCAATACATATTCCAATGAAGACTATGACAGGAGAAATGACGAAGTTGACCCAGTGGCTGCATCAGCTGAATATGAACTTGAAAAGCGTGTGGAAAAGCTGGAGCTCTTCCCAGTTGAACTAGAAAAAGGTATGGAATCTGTGCGCCATTTCCAGTTCCTGTGACACTGATCTACAAGTCTGAGGAAGTCTACACATACCTACAGAGCCTATCTTGAATTTCCATGAATCTGTTGTAGTCACCTTGGCTATTTGGATTTCAAGAATTGTTTGATAAGGAATTAAAGCAGCAGTTCAGAGACATGTGGTTCTTTATTTCGCTGAGGGAATTGGTTTGTGTCACTCCATTAACATGATTTTACACGGTGTTTGATGCAATGTTTTCATTCTCCACTGGAAAAGTAAAAATCTTGATTGCTAGTTCTGAGCTCCTCATAAGGGTGAAGGTGATATTTTTTGTGTGTAATTAAAATGGTAGAATAATAAAGTTTTTAAAAGGAAGCAAAAGGATATTAATGTTACTGACATGGAAAACCAAGAGGAACCAAAGCATAAATGTATATCTACCAAATAACTATATAAATCAAATGCAAGTTTCTCCTTTCACTTTCCTTTTTCACAGATGAAGACGGACTTGGCATAAGCATTATTGGAATGGGAGTCGGAGCAGATGCAGGCCTTGAAAAACTGGGAATATTTGTCAAAACAGTAACAGAAGGTGGGGCAGCAGAAAGAGATGGCAGGTAAACGGACTCAGTATTTGGAAATTTTCCCAGCAATAGTTACTATGAATTATGATTTTCATAGGAAAGAGTTGTTTGCTTAATGTATGCATGATAAATCTGTAAAATTCAGAGACTTCCTTGGTAAGGTGATAGCTGATGTGGTTATGAGAAGACACCAGTTTGATGAACTGAGTTTAAACTGTTTAAGGAGAACAGATTTGCCAAAGATGTGTGTTCATGACTACCTGAAAACCCAGGTGCTTTAGTGTGAGTAAAGCTGGAGATTCCAAATTGTGTATCACTTTTGAAGGTAGTTTAGATTTTAAAGGTGTTGAGCTCCCACGTGTTCTTTTGGCTTCAAACCAGCTTTAAACAATCAGTACTTAAGAAAGAAAGTTCTGCTCAACATTTGATTAGGAAAATAATTAGTGTGTCTGAATGCTTAAACTCTTACTAAATACACCTCCTTTCAAGTTCACTAAGACAGGCTGTTACTTTGTATTTCTTATTATGCATAGTCTTCTGCTCCAGAATTCAGTTTTCACCCCTACAGCACTGAAAGTACGTTTATCAATTGGAATGGGAAGCTGTAGCATAAATCTTTCCCACTAAAGAAATGAATTGGTGTTTGTAGTCTTACATGATGCTCATGTAAAACCTGGTTGCTTCTAGAATTGCTTACTTAGTATGTGCAGGTTAAAGAATTCCTTTTGAACTTACAATATATCCTATCATACAGGACAGAGTTGTCTGTGTATTACTCAATACCTGCCACAATCAGACCAGTGTTTCTCATTAAAAGTTAGAAAACGCTTTACTGTGTAATCATTTAATAATGAAAAGTATTCTTAAACATGTTCCAACCCATATAATTTGTTGTTTTGTCCCAGTGCATACCCTTTGTAAATCTGCATGCAAATAAAGTATTACTTATTTGATACATTAGCAATTAAGTCTACTTCTATGCATTCTCTACTTCTGTTTTTAACCATTAGTGATTTGTTATATTAGTTATAAATAATACCAAACACAAACACAGGTAAATAGAGTAAGAATAAACTCTAAAAAGTTGATACTGTCTTCTAAAAAATGTATTGCAGTAGCATGTTCCTTATTGATGAACACCTATGACCTTTGAGCCAGGCAAAAGGTTGTTCTGCTGTGGAAACCCTACACAAATTAAATCAGAAGGCTCTACATGGCAGGGAGTTGCAAAGTTTAATAACATTGCTCTGAAACTACTGAAGTATACCGTCTTCCAGCTTGGGCTTGCAGGTATCTTTACAGATCTTGGCAATAAGATACCAGGTTGAAGGCCAAGTACTGATTTATCATAGGCTTAAAAATGATGAAGGGAAGTGAAGAAGCTGACACCTCAAGATGTCATGACTTCATCCATTACTTTAAATTTAAGTGAATGTTTTTCTGAAAGGTATGCTTGAGCTCAGCCAGAAGGGATTAAGCTCACAACTGTCATTCTGTGTGAAATTCTCTCATTGAAAATCAGAGTTGCTCACTACTGCTTTACGATGATCTGTATTTTCTGTTCCTCTCATTATTCACATGTTTGAGTAGGCTCCAGAAGTTAATGTTCAGTCACAAGTCTCTTCTTTCATTTCCCTAGATGGCATCTGAAAGGAGCTTGTCGGCTGAGAAGAAATAATATCTTTCTTTGACCATTCTAGTATTTGTGTTGGTTTTCAACTGGCTGAATGTTCAGTCAGCTGAGATATAGCCCTCTGATTTTCTCTTTGAGAGCCTGACTGATCATTCACTTGGGAAAGGGATGTGTAATCCTCTCAGTCAGGAGCAACTGGTTCCGTAATAAAGTGCATCAACTGTAAAGGGTCCTGTTAACTTCATCTTTGTGAAGAGCCTAGTAAATCATTAACACTGAGAGCAAAACAAAGTCTCCTAACAGAAAATAAAACTATATTTCAGCAGTTGCATCGGATATTCTGAATAACCACATAGCAATCTTCAAGCAGGCTCATCTGAAACTACAATTTAGAACATTACAATATCTGTAGGATAACTCCCATCTTTTACTGAAAGACCCATCGAATCATGATATAAAGTACTTGCCTCCCATGGAAACCCAAAATCTGTACAAAGGGGTTGCTCAGTGATTGAGCACTGCTGGCTTGATTCATGTTGATGCAAACAAACAGGTGGTGTTCAGTTGTCATGTCAAAAGGTGTTGTGTGGCAGTATTTAACCAAGGAGAGTGCCTCGAGGTGAATCCAAAGGCAAGCATGTTGATAAGTAATGAGAGATTATTAATAGTGTTTAAAATACGAAATCAATCATTAGACTGAATATGAAAAATAAAATCTTTTCCTGGATGAATTCATAGCTGCTTCTTTCAAATTATTGTGATGATGAGTCATTCACATTTTAAAGTATTTTGATAACATTGAGAACAACAGTTTTGAAACATTACGCAGTTCTTAACTTGAAAAATACTCTAAATGTCTCTGCAGAGGTTGATTTTTTTCAGTTCCTCATACAGAGCAGTGATTATGCAAGTAACTTGTTCAACTTTAGTTGGTTCACTTCTGTAGTTGCTACTTCACTGAAGTGCTGCTTGACATAGGCAAAGATTTAAGTCATGAGCATTAGAAAATACTTGTCGTAAGAATTACCAATTTCATTAATGATAAAAGCAGTTAAACCTCTATAATTCAGGCTTTGCCAACCTGCGCCTAATTTTTCGGGTTTTTTGAAATTAGATTTGAGAGACAGAGGGAGCCTAGAGCTCCTAATGGAGGGGGCTCTAAAGGGAAGGCTGCCCAGAGAACCTGGCTGTGAGAATATTTGGGGGTAGATGGTGCCTGGGGTGGCTTGTCTAGGGAGCTAGGGCTAGGCTACAGGCACAGAGCTGCGGTGGGAGTGGGGCTGGAGAGGGGATGCCCAGGGAAGAGGAAGGCAGCCAGGAGAATATGGCTGCGAGAGTATTTTAGTCTGGGCAGTGTAGAATGTACACGGCAACAGAGAGGAAACTTCTTTTTTAATTACATGTAATTATATAATTTGAATAACAAGTATGCTAACTGTGTGTTGTTTGATATGTACATATGTTTATTTATAATTAAAATACATGTATGTATAGAAAGAGAGGAGGTTTGGAGAACAATGGCCTTAAAAATAAGAGTTGGAAATTAATTTAGGAGCTGTACAAACAAGAAAGAAGGATATACGAAATATGCCTGAATGACAAATGGGATCAGAACGAACTGCAGTAGATCAAGAGAGAGCCACTTATGAAGTTGCAGGCAATAGTTCTCTAACATGATGTTTCGTCACCTGAAATACTATTACTGCATATCTCTATGACCAGTGCTAGTCCACTGCATAGTAAAATATGTAAAGTGTTGTAGCTAAACTGCTATCAGAAAGGAATCTGTTCATTCACCATTTAGTTTTCAGCCAAGAGGGTAACAGCTTCCCACTCAGCGGGCACCAACTTCTTAAACTTCTTTTCCTGGAACTCCTGCAGCCATCTGACTGCACCTCATGTTTGCTAAAGTAAAAAAAAAAAAAAAAATCCATTTTTACAGTATCAAAATACAATAAATATTAATATGATTGGTGTTTTTATTAAATGCTTCAGTGAAAATTGAAATAAAATTCTGAGACTAAAATGCCTGATACGATTTTCAAGATAGTTTATAGACTGTTGCGAAGCTCATTTTTTCAAGGTTTCTTATATACAGAAGGGAGATCCTGCCCAGAACACAGTGACATGCTGTGGTGTGAGGCTGCCAAAGAATAAATCTTGTATTTCTTACTCATCAGTAGAGTCCAAAGAACTGAAGATACCGTTTGAACACCTGCAGAACTGCAAAGCATTGCCTCAGGCTTGACAGAGAAATTAGTGCTCCAAGTCAAAATGCTTCAGCCCTCTTTTGAAGCCTCTGTTGTTCTTTGAAAAGAAGTCTTATCACTAAGTTATCCTAAGATATTAAATAGCTTAATTTAGGTGTTTTCATATAATTTAAATGGGATTTTTTCATAGCTGTTTCTTGGTTCCTTTGTAAACTGTATCGTTTGGATCAGTAACATCCATGTAAGTACTTGAAAATTGCTCCCTTTTGCTAGTTCTGAATGTGTTGTGTTTTTTGTTTTGTTTTTTTTTTTTTTTTTGAAACTATAGGACTTCGTGCATTTCTAGAGGACATTTTAGTATAGCAGTCCTCCTTCCAAGCATTTGTAATCCACAAGAGTCCAATGCCTGCTCTAGGGATTTTGTAGCAGTGCTTGCTTCAGATAAAAGCAGCATGTTTTTTATTCCGCCTAACTTTTCCTGCATCAAACAGTGTATTGACTATAAATAGGTGTTTGGGTTCAAAGAGAGAGTCCTCATTAAAACAGTCCAAGGTCATCTTATTGTGTGCAGCAAGATCACACTTAAACTGGGAATTAATCTTTTTGGCGCAAGTTAGATGAAATATTTTAAGAGAGTAGGTCACAGTTAAGTCTGATGCACAAGCTCTTTTCTCCACAGATGAGCAGGTTGTTTTAGTTAAATATCGCATTTTTTTTCCATTAGCATGAAATACCAGAGCTATGTCTTATGCTGTTTTTCAAGATTGGCTTAGGAAAGAATGATAGAAGAACTGTTCAAGTATCTCGTTTAATTTAAGTCATATGACAAATTCAAGAGTTTGTGTTGCTGTATTTATATACAGCAGGAGAGTGACTGGATGATTGATGCTATTAATTGTAATGGTAACTTTGAAGCTGGATTTATGAGATGTCTGTGTGCAAGGGATGATGCGTTTTTCATATTTACCTCAATCATTTTATGACTGAGTTTTTGTTTAAAGTCTTTGTTTAAAATCAAACTAAAAAGATCTCTGTATGCTAAGTTTTCCTGAAAATTCACCAAGAATTCACACAATTATTTATATATATTTGTGTTTTTCCCTTGAAAGGATCCAAGTGAATGACCAAATTGTGGAAGTTGATGGCATCAGTCTGGTTGGTGTTACGCAAAATTTTGCTGCGGCTGTTCTTAGAAACACCAAAGGGAAGGTCAGGTGAGTATTTTAGAAGAAAAAAATTTGTGATTGAATACTTCAGGTTACCTGGCTTTTTTCACAGGAGTGTCAGTATGCCCAAGTGGAATCAGAGTTTTTTGGTCTCTTTGTGCCTTCTCTGCTTTTATCCCAAGACAGGGATGAGCTATGCTATTACAGATTTTTGTTTTGGCTTAGAGTTTTAAAATACGACCACTGAAACAAGCTGAAATTGCACACAGAAGATGATTCTTCACTGGTCTAGATCCCCATGGACCTCAAACGGTTTGTATTAGCTGGAATGACGAAGGTCATGGGTGTTGGTCAGATGGAAACTGTGCTTTTTTTTGTGCTGCCTCAGACCTCCTCCCGGCGCTTCCACTGGGGAGACTGGACACGTTACTGCCCCAGGGTTGGAGGAGTAAGGTAGTGAGCACCCTGGTGCTTGCAGATGCCACCTCAGCAGAGAGGAGAAGAGAGTACTGGATGCAGTAGTGTTAACAGCTACTGAATTGAGGAGAGGAACATCCCGGTATTAATTCATTGAGCTACCTGAGTCCCTGCACCATCTCGGGGTTTCTCTCTGTTCCCATGCTGTGGTTCCTTGAAAGGCATCCCTGTAAAAATCCATAAAATAACGAATAGGCTAGAGAATGTAACGTATACTGCAAGTAAAATTCTGAACTAATGTAAATACAAGGCTGTAAAATGTTAGTAAATTAATAAGGACAGTGTTTCCCTAGAAATGAACTGTTTTGCCATTTAAAAACCTATGCAGTCACATAGCTCTTCTGTTTAATAGCTTATTAATTTCAGTAAAGATTTAACGTTACAAAATAAATCCAAAAATATCTTTGGCATATTGCAAAGCAACAGCCATTCTGTAGTCACCCTTTGGTTCTCTTTCAAAATCCTCTCTAGGGAACACAGCTGAATTCTTGAATTAATGAGTTCTTCCTGGCTGACTTCTTCTGAACCATGACCAAACTACTGGTGTTAATATATGCAGTCCCCCTCGGATGGTGGTGCTATATGCTGGCTGCACATTTCCACTATAATTCCATAGCTGTTCCCGCACAACATAAAGGAATGATGTTGGGATGTGGATTCCGCAAAGGATCTTGGGAATGGTTGATCAAGGTTTTATTTGAAAGAAGTTATTTAGGAAAAAAGTTACTAGAAATTGTAGTGTAATTACCGGTGAATATGTTTTTGTGTAACATTTACAGTTTTAGTTACATCAGTACTATTTCTGCAAAGACTCACACGTGCTGTGAGTGTTCCTGCTGTCCTGCTGACTTAACTATAAAAATGAGTATATACTTTACTAGGTTTTCTGCAGAGTTGGGACCTTTGAACATAAAATCCTTATGACAGAGAATAATGTCTTTCATTACACAATGAATGTGTTTCAATACACAAAACAAATGCTATGTATATTTTGTTTGATGTTTTAGCTCAACAAAAAAAAAAAAAGACAGTGCTCACATAAAACATATGTATTATATACATTTAGAATCAGCTTAGTTTGTGTAATTATTATTGCATAGGTTACAGAATAGAATACTTGCTTCCATGGAAAAACAGTAGGTTTGGAGGAAGGACGAAACATAAAATTATTTTCACACAGAATGCTCCCAGAATCTTCTCTTGGGAATTAAATTACAGTCAGACTGGTTGCAGTCTAGACCCTTTTGTCACAAAATAGTAGACTGTAAAAAGTATTTCTTCATCACTGTTAAGCTCACATTGTCCGGTGTACTATGTATCCTGTGCACTGGGATCATTGGCTTCTGACAGGTCTCATTTATCAAGGAGAGATGTGTGAGCTCCTACATTTGTCCTTGGAAGTAAGCTTAAGATATTGAGCTTTCATGGGAAAAATGACCCAGTGCATTAGTGTCACAACTAGATTTAAAAACCTCATAAAATAATACTAAATTTAAAATAAAATTTAAAATACATTATAA